TACAAGAAAAGAAATCCAAGGAGCAATACTATCTTTTGTTTCCAGATATAAAAATTTGCAACAAAATATTAGCAAACCAAACCCAGTAACATATAGAAAAGATTGTATAACATGACCAAGTAGGATTTATCCTAAGAATGCAATGTTGGATTAACATCCAAAAATGAATTAATATAATATACCATATCAATAAAATAAGGGGAGGAAACTCACATGATTATCTTAGTTGTGGAAAAAGCCTTTCACAATATCCATCACACATTTATGATAAAAACTCTCAATACAATTAGAATAGAAGGGAACTGTCTCATCCTGATAAAGGGCATCTATTAAAAACCTATATCTAACACACTTAATGAAATAAGTATATAAAGGAAGAACAAATTGGTCAAGTGAGTATGTGCAGAAAGGTTTAAATAATAACTATGACATAAAGACGAAGTTCAGTGGTCCACTGAAATTTAGAAGTAAATCTCATAGGAACTGGAGATACAGTTTTACCATATCAATGTCATTTGAAACCACTTTCTTATATCTATGAAAATTAAAAACATAGAGGAAGCATGGATTACCCATAAAAAATCATAAGGCAAAAGGACAGAGGATTGAGGATGAATTATTAGAGGCACTTATATTCAAGGAGCAGTGAAAGAAGAAATCAGCAAAGGAAATTTAGAAATATTAATCAATAACTGCTGTTTGGTCATGCTCTACCTCAAAGAAATAACTGCCAATTAGGAGTTGTTTTGAATCCATAATGTGAAAGAGTGTTCCTTTGAAAAACATTATCCCCTTTAAAATACAATATCCCCTCCTCCGTTGGGGTTGCCAAATGATTGGACCAAGCTTAAGGAGGACACATAAAAATTCAAGTTCATCTCCAAAGATATACACAGATTTAACCAATTTATCTCACACACGGGTAAAGGTCTTATAGCCTGGAAGATGCCTTCCCGCATTCCCTAATTGGAACAGAATCCAGAATCATTATCCCTGTCTCTCTACCAAAGATACTTTCTTATTTTCCAGAAACTTGACAGAAGTCCTCCTAAATACACAGCACTTGGAGTATTTCAGGGAGTTCCTCAAAGAACGGAAGGCTGAAAGCCCGTTGCAATTCCTGATAGCCACACACAAGATCTGCGTGGAAACCAATGAAAAGACTTATAAGTCTCTTATGGAAAATGTAATCAAGACTTTCTTCCGTGGCAAACTCTCTCCTGGTATGTATCCCTTCTCCTGGTCCTGTTTCCTTCTCCCTTTAGTGTCTTGGGAGAATAGTCGGGGAAATAGCTTGACTCATGTGAGACCCCGGAGAGAACAGGACAGAGCAGTGGTGACATAAGGCAGTATTGAGCAAAGATTAGGAGGGATGGTGAAAGCAGAGAACAACAATAATAAATCCACAATCTTAATACTAATAAAAGAAGCCAAGTGCAAAATACCTTCACATACATCCTCTCATTAATTTTATTTAATTATCAAAATAGACTTTTATTTAATCTCTGTAATATGTGGATAAATAGCTCCATTTTACTAATGAAGAAAGTGAAACACAGAGAAGTTAACTTGTTCAATTGGTGGAACTTCAATCCCATTCAAGCCATTTGACCATCAAATCAATGAGGCTGGAGTGAGATACGGAAGTGAGGGTTAGCTGTATGCAGAGGTGGAGTATCCACTTCCCGTGGATTATGAAAAGAGTTGTACGGAGAAGGAGAACCGTAGGCTTGAAAATCTTTGTTTCATAAGTTGTGTCTTATTTTCTTGCCTAAGGCAGGAGGATAAATATGGCCCATGTAAATTCATCTTGGCCAAAAGCAGAAGTTGCAAGTAAAGTACTAACCTTTAATTCTAGATGAAAACAAAAGGGGGTGAGCATGATTGCCTCCTGGGGATAAACAAATCTATAGAAAAGCAATGAAGATAGAGCCTCCTCTTTTGTCATAGGTGAACAGATAGAGTTATTGCGTGTTTGGTTTTTGCTTGTGTTAGACCAAGATAAGGGTATAAATTTTATGAATAAAGAAAGAGGTAAAATTAGCAAATCTTTATTTGTAGAAATATTCATTTGTTGAGTCTCAGAATGTGTAGTTCTGCACATGATTTTTTTTTTATTTCAGCATATTATGGGGGTACAGATGTTTAGGTTACGTATGTTGCCCTTGCCCCCCCTCCCCCTCTAAGTCCGAGTTTCAAATATGTCCATCCTTCGGGTGGTGCGCATTGC